GGGTCCGGAACCTGGAGCAGTAGAAGGCATTGAGATTTCATCCCTTGTTCTCTCAAACTGCCATTACCCAGACCTTCTGACCTCTATAGATAATGAAATCCATAACTTGGAAGAGGGCATTAACTGCCTTGAAAAATCTTTTGTCTTCCTTTCAGAGGTCTTCCTCCAAAACAGGCTAGGCTTAGACCTATTGTTTTGACAACAAGGAGGAATTTGTACAGCACTCAAGGAAGACTGTTGCTTTTATACAGATCACACAGGAGTGACAAGAGACAGTATGGCCAAGGTCGGAAGGGTTTGAAAAAGAAGGAAGCAGTGAGGATAGGAACAAGGCTGATTCTAAAATAGGCTCTCATCCTCACACTAGCTTACCATCATACGCCCATCCATTGCTGGCTTATTGATTCTGCTTAACTAAGGTTCTTGGGCCATTATGAAGTTAACTGGCTTCATCTGGCAACAGATCCAATTGGAAAGACTATTCAGGTACGTTATCAAGGGCATGACCTCGATGATCATGGTCAAAGTGAACCTTTAGAAGGTGATAAATAACCCATGATCAAGGGAGCCACTTCCCAGGGAAGCCTCCTTCTGCTATTGAGAAAACTAAAACATCATTGTGAGTGCAATGAAGAGAGGCCAGCAAGGACACCTACCCTGGCCTTCATGGGAGTATACCTGGTTGCATGAAGGTCAATGTCAAAAAACCCTTCCCACCACAAAAAAAATTGCTGCAGGCATGAGCAATCTCACCACCTAGGCGGGGTGGCTTGCTTCAAGATATATATCAGATAACCATCTAGGGGGACCAGGTCCCTGCTCCCACTCATGGTGAGATAGTGTCAATAGCTCACATTCTTACTTGGAAAAAAAGGGAGGAATTGCCAGGAGTAATCGTGACATAAGCCTTCCTGATCACAAGTTTTTCCTTAGAATAGCAGATTGAGTTAGAAGACTGCTACCTTCAGTCCCAATCTACCTCCCCCCCCTTCTCAACTTCCTGAGAAGTAGAACTTGGGGTTCAGGGGAATGCAGTTAATGCAGTTATTTAGCAACTCCAAAATCTCTTCCCCTGCTAACAACTTGCTTATCTGCATATCCTGCTCATCTTTAGTGACCTATAATTAAGAACAGCAGACAGGCAGTGCAGTTACGAGGAAACGAACAGCCCCCACTTACGATTCCCCCCACCTTACCTAGCTTCCTGTCCTAACCACTAGATAACATGCTAGAGCAAAATAAAATTTTGTAGCTTGATCAGAAGGCCTCTCTTGATACCTGTTTCTTAGGTCTCCCGTCCCTTCATTCCAGATCCTTTGGGCTTCAGGCCTTCCTTGCTACCCCACTGGTCATGGAAAATAGTGCTAGATAATAGTCCATATCTACACAGCCAATAACTGGGCCTTTTCCTTGGACATGGAGTCATTCTTTTGTTGAAAACAATTGAGACTTCCTCTAAAATTAGTAGCATTGGTTACAACAAATAATAAGGGAGCCAGCACACAAGTGCCTGAAATGAAGGTGAAATTCCTATCCTTTGTACTAAATTGTAAAATTATAGCTGCTTTACCCAAACTATCATTAGTGGTCTGGAAAAAGGGCCACACATGTGAGCATCTTAGATACTTCATAGAAAAGGGAATGGCTAGCACCTGATCCCCATTCATTTTGGCTCTTCAGAGCTGTATCCAATCAGTGGGGTTGCAAAACACTGAAAGACTAAAAAATTGCCTGACTGAAAGGAGCATGAAGCCCATAAGCAGTGGAAAGTCTCCTTAGGTTGTTTTAGATTCTTGAAATGGAGTGGGCTGTGTTCCCTAACCCTCTTATTCAGAAGATCCAGTGTCTCAGTCCCATGATAAGCTTCTCTTTCCTTTCCCAAGGCTTCTACTTTGGATATCTTTGACAGCCTACTCTATCCCTCCAGGCACTGAGGCTCCACTAAAAGGATCACAAGAAATGGTTTATGTCCTTGTAGACTGCATTTATACTCAAGCTTCAGTAACTCTTTGCTTTAGTTGTTCAATCTCTGCTTCCAAAGTAACTTCTACATGAGTTATAGCAGGACTAATGTCTCCTATTTGGGATCCCTCTTGGTTCCTGATAGATTACACAGATTATGAATCTTGTACTTCCTCAAAAGTCTTTTTCATCCCTGCCATTTATTGTTTTACTTTGACATTGTTGCTCAGAAACACATCCTTAAGTGGATGCCAAAGGGAAAAGGTGGCAATTGGAGAAATTATCAGGCTCTCCTTCTTTATAAGCCTTTTTGAGATCTCCTTTTATCTGTTCCCAGTCAGGGATGTTGAAGCCTCCAGACTCTATAAACCAGGGATTATGTTTCACTAATATGGTTATGAATTCATTTTCTGTCTTCTTTTTTTTCTCGGTGTCCTGTCTTTTCAATAGGGCCACTACTTGCCCACTGAGAATTTCCTTAGAATTACTGGCACCCATCCTTCAATATACCATCATTCACGTACTTTGCTTGCAGGCCTCTGAGGGCAATCTCTTAGGTGTTCCTTTCTTCCCCATCTCAGTGGGACCTCCACTTGTAGTACCCACACTTCAATCTGTTCCACTAATCCAACAAAGACCTAGAGTTTGAAATAAAAGAAAAGACAGCGGGACATTCCTGCAGCTGGAATTCTGAATGCTGTTTTATGAGTGGAAGGTGCAGGCATATATACTGACTCACAACACAGTGGAAAACAATCAAGGGTCAAGCGTGCAAGTGCTCCTGGTCTTAGTTCCTCTCCATCAGATGTGTGTTAACAAATCAAGAAGATTATAAAAAACTACTGTGGCACAAAATGTTCCAGCCAGCAGATTCAGGCTTGCTCAAGGTGCCTCAGGGGTCCAGGCAGGGACCAACACTCTTTGATTCCTACATAGCAGTTCCAATGTTACATAGGTCCTGATAGTCTCAAATAGAGTAGACCTCAAGATAGTAAATATAGTTCCCAGTGTGTTGGGCTTCTTTCCTGGATATGTTTGTTGCCCATGTTTACACATACATAGTTAGATTTCCTTCTAGGGTTATTTTGTTTTTATATTGTACCTTTCATAATTAATTATTATGTAATTTTCATTTTTGAAAATTAAGTCTCTTATTTCCATTTGGCCTCCTTTTTTTTCTGTACTAAAAGTATTTAAGTATTTATCAAAGATATCCATTTTGATTATGCCTTTGGTAACATGTCTGTGCTAGACTTGGATGATATTCGCCTGCAGTGTTTCTCTCCTTCCAGCATATCTTTGGGAATTTTACTAGAACTTTGACAAAAGCTCAGCTCTCTCCTTCTTCATGACCCAAATAACACAAAATCTGTCTGATTTCTGTTTGTGTGTCTCCTTTGTTTCACATAAAATAGTATGTTGCTCGAGCTACTTTCATAATAACACAAGGTTTCACTAGTCACTGTGCATAGTATGTTGTCTTGCCCAGATACTTTTTCTATGGTATTATATTGTTCAATTTGTTTACTTTGAAGTAAATTCCTGTCCTGGTGTGAGTCCATTTGGATGTGTAAATGCAGGGATTTGTAGTATTTCTGAAAGAATGTGAAGTATCAAGGACACATATTAATGATTTTCTCATTTATGTTTATTAAGAAAAGCAGGTTATATTTATTTATGTTGGTATTGAATGACCAGCGGAGGGGATGGAGCCTCATGCTGCTACTCAGGACAGACGGCCCCCCCCCCGCCCCCAATCACTCACAAGAAGCTGTCTTGATGCAAAAGCATGAGGTCTTTTATATTCCAGTGCACTGGGGTCCATAGCCATACTCCACGTGGCATAGAGGACTGGGAACCCTGGGTACAGGGTTCAGACAGCTTTTATAGGGTTACAACAAAGCCCCGCATCGCAAACCAATCATCTCATAGCATCCAGTGCGGACCAATCAATTTGAGCTATCCAAGCCTGCACTTAGCTCAGGAAGTCTGCTTTCGCTAGGGCTTCTGGGTAGTGTTTAGCCCAGGAAGTCTGCTTTTGCTAGGACTTCTGGGTAGTGTAACATAGTTCATTTCCTGTTCTCATTCAGTCACATGCTGTTGTAAAACCACCCTGTTGTAAACAGTCAAGAATGACCTTTTGCCTACTCACTGCCAGGGGGCAGAGTCTAGGGAAAATTAGGCAAATTTTTCCATCCTCCCAGTATTTGCTTGAGGTACAGGAGAATACTGGCACAGGGATCAGTTTGCAAACATTCCTTTCCTTTCCGTTTCATCAAGTATTTTTAATAACCTTGGTGTTTGGCCTAGTGTTTCTAAGACTGTAACAACACACCATGAGCAATAAGAAAGTTCAGAAAAAAGGGTTTAATCATGTTACACTTGCAAGATTGCTGTTTATCGTTAAAGAAAGTCAGGAGAGGAACTAAATAGAGCAGGTTCCTTGAGGCAAGAGCCGATGCAGAATCCATGGAAGGGTGCTCCTTACTGGCTTTATCAGTCTGTTTTAGAATAGAAGCCAGAACCAAAGTCTACGAGATTCACTCCCTTTGGGCTTGGCCCTCCCCACTGGTTACTAAATGAGAAAATGCCTAACTGCTGTGATCATGAAGGTGTTTCCTCAACTGAGTTCCATTGAGCTCCGATGACTCTAGCTTGTGTCAGGTTGGCACACGATTCCCTCCAGCCTCCAGTACAGGGTTCATTCTTGTCCATAGTTTTAATACATTCAGGAAATCCAAGAGATCTGGGCTCTGCCTCGTTTGGAGCCATTTTGTTATCATACACACTTGTTGCCCATGACTCATATAACTGAGACCTGTGACTTTGGGGAGGATGGTATGGAAGGAAAAGCCAAGAAATGCCAAAGTTATAGCATGCTCAAAAAAAAAAATACTCCTGCTTTTAGCTGATGCCCTGCTCAGATGAAATAAAAAAAAATACTTCTGCTTATAGCTGATGCCCTGCTCAGACGGAATAGTCAGTGAAGGAAATGTCCTGATGTCCACTACAGTGGTCCTGAGGACTTTGCAATCGAAATGAAGTCTGAAGAGACCCTGAATGGTGATCTCCACGCCTGCAAATCAGCTCTGGAAGCCACACATACCAGAATCCTGAATATTGACTTCTCTATAGAGCAACCAACCTTGATGCCTAACATGGAAAATGACACGCTCCAGTATAGGCCCATAATCTCTGCATCCAGGCCATTTAGGTCCTGGACACAGGTGAGGAAGCAAATTTCCCATGCATTCAGAGCACGGTGCCTTCTTCCTGAGCCATTGCATTGTGAGCCCTGGACCCTAATGTAAGCTTCAAGGAAAACAGAGGACATTACATCTCTCAGAGACCCATTGGTTCTGCCACCAAGATGTTCCCCTCCCTTGCATTTTGACTGTGTTATTTTAATAATGACCATATTGTAAGTGACAAGTATCCACAAGAAGGAACCACACTCAGACTCCTACCAACAAGGGAAAGGATGCCCAAACTGATCTAAGCCTGTAATTGGGGTATACACCAAGTATCATCATTCAGTCATTTTTTTCAGTAATTTATGGAACCAGATGCAGAGATCTACTACCAAGCACCAGGCCTACCTCAGGGAAGACAGACCAAGAGAGGGAGGAGAGTAAATATGACCCAGGGAGGTCAAGATCATGATAGAGAAATTCAAAGAGAAAGTTTTACCCAGCTCATGGAAATAATGAACTCTTTGACCATCACCTATGGTAACTCATGGGCTGTGAGTTAGGCCCTTTGTATGTGGGAAACACTTGTGAACCATGGACTATCGGAGGACTCCTGACAGTAGGACAAGGATCAAACCTTGGTACTTGAGCTATATTGTTGAAGCCCAATCCTGATGATGGGATGCCATGCTCAGGCAAAATGCAAGGCAGAGGCTTGGTACTTCCCCTACTTAAAGTGCCAGACTTTGTTGAATCCTCATGGGAGCCATTGCCCCTGAAGAGGACTAGTTGACTGGGGGATTTCTCTTCATCACAGGAGAAATCCATGAAGATGAAGTCTCAATTCTGAACATCTATGGAACAAATACATAGGCACAATACTAAAACTCTAATCTCACATAAAACCTTACACACTTAGAGTGGGAGACTTCAAGAACCCACTCTCACCACAAGACAGTCCCACCAGACAGAAACTTAAAACAGAATCAAAAGAACTAACAGAAATTATGTCCCAATTGGCTTTAACAGACATTTATAGAACATTCCATCAAACACAAAGAATATACCTTTTTCTCAGTTTCACATGGAACCTTCTCTAAAATCGAACACATACTTGGCAACATAGCAAATGTCAACATATCCAAACAACTTGAAATAGCCTCCTGTTTCTTATCAGACCACCATGCTTTAAAGTTGGAATTCAACAACAACAGATTGCAGAAATACTATAAACTCGTGGAAATTGAAAAAATGCCCAGTTGCAAAATTCCTGGCTCAAGGAAGAAATAAAGAAAGTGATTAAAGACTTCCTAGAATTCAATAAAAATGAAGACATGACATAGGTAAGGTTATGGTACACTTTGAAATCAGTAGAATGAGTAAAGGTCATTGCACTAAATGCCTATATGAAGAAAATGGAGGATAGTCACATTAAAGAATAAACAGTTCAAAGCCCCAGAAAAAAGAAGGAAACTCACCATGGAGGACTAGATGGCAAGAAAAATCGTTTTGATTGCTGAGATGAATAAAGTAGAAACTCGTGGTGGTGCTTATCAGGGAAGAGAGGTGGGTGGCAGCCAGAAGTTCACATTGATCATTCCTCAAACCCTGTAAGAACTGCCTAGCCACTTGATCACTTTGAAGCTGGGCAATGGCATGATGTATCGAAAAAGTGTCAGTGATGGTCTAGTACTTATATCCCCCAAACCCAAAAACTGTCAGGTAGGAGTTGCTAACATCTTTAATCCCATAATCTAGAGAAAGAGGCACCCAGATCACAAAAAGTCAAGCTTAATCTCATTTTCAAATAGAATTCCGGGAAAACCAAAGCTGATATACATAAGAACATCTTTAAAAAACTAAAAGTAACAAAACAAAACAAAAAAACAATCCAAGACAACAACAAAGCTTGTGCCAATTGTCAGTGGTGCCACCTTTAATCCCAGTAAGCGGGAGTCAGAGGCAGGAGGATGTGTGTGAGTTTCAGACCTTCGTGGACTACAGAGCTTGTTCCAGGACAGGCTCCAAAACAAGAGGGAGAAACCCTGTCTCAAAAATACCAGAAAGAAAGAAACAAAGGAAGGAAGGAAGATTGCAAGAAAGAAAGAGAGAGAGAGAGAGAGAGAGAGAGAGAGAGGATGGAAAGAAGGAAAGAAGGGAGAAAGGAAGGAAAGACAAAAGATAAGAAATCTGGAACCAATCCAAGAATTAATTACAGTGAAGATTTGCATGTAAAGCTCATTGGGCAGATTAATGTACTGTGTGACACACTGCAGTCTTCTGAAGTCATTAAGGCCTTAGTGTAAGAAGAAACTCTCAGAACTTCAAATTGAATCAGGAAGCAGAGAGAGGGGAATGAAATAGGCTAGACTCCTTAATCTCAAGGACAAGCCCAGTGATGGAAATCTGCCTTTGGGATAACATTGTTGGGTGTGAACTTCACTACATCTCTAATGAACCTCAACCTAGACATGGAGTGCACCCCTGGGAGACATCCTTTTTTGATGGATTTACCCTGGATCAAGAGGTATGAAATACCCCTCTAGGAGGATCTAGAGCTGGGAGGTGTGAAGTCACACGCCTTTAATCCGGATCTTGAGGCCAGAAGACACACCTTTATCATGGCCACACCTTCTACTGGTTGACTATATAAGGCCATTTGAGAAGGAGGGTTTGCTCTTTCCTGCCTTGCCCAGGCCTGGTTAGCCGTCCATTCCACGTCTGGAATTAGAGACTATTTCTTTGGTGTTCCAGCATATACTGAAGATTTGTTGAGAGATACGGCCTTGAGGATTGAAAACCTCTTGGAGTTTTGACTACAGTCTGTAAGTCATTCCAATGAATTATGGAAGGTGGTGGGGGTGGTGACTGAATTATTGTATGAGATACTCTGTTGCTTAGAGAATCCTGAGTAATACATTTAAAAAGGCTCCATCACATGAAATTCCCTGCATATGGCAAAAGCTCATACTCAAATGACTAAGACCACAGGGACCTTTCTCATTTAAAGGAGCACCGTGCTTTAGTTCACATTATCTCAGGCATTGTGAGCACTTGGTTTTCAGTAGCAAGTGTTGCTTGCTTGGAACACTGCACAAAGCTGCACTGCTGAAACTGTCTAGGAAGCAAGACTTTGATGAGCAGAGAAATTTGATTCACTGTCACCAGCCAACCTAAACACCCAGCTCTGTAAAAACCACAGTTTCCTAGTTCCAGGGCTTCTAAGTCTGTTCCTTATCAGAGTGCTAATAAACTCTTCCTCCCAGAATTGACTTTTCCATGGGACTTTATCACAGACAAGATGAAAATGACTAGGGCACTGGTATGGTCAAGATTCTGAGAAAGAAATACAAGAAAGAAAAAAATCCCACAATCACTGCCAGTTCTCACCACTCACAAATTCACCATAGGTTTGTTCTTGTGAAATTGCACAGAGGGCTCATGAGCAACACTTAATATTAGGTAGTGTCTACACAGTCTTGAACTGGGCCTTTTCCTTGGACATTGCAGTCACTGTCTGATTCCTACACTGCAGTTGGAATGTTAGAATGGTCTAGATTTGGAGATCTCTAGTGGACTGGACCTCAACGTAGTGAAGATGTCTCCCAGTGGTTTTATTTCCCTTCCCTAGAATTATGTGAGGTCTTTCCTATTTATTTTACAATGTTAGTATATGTTCTATGGTTAATGTATGCCTATAGTTTACTTTCGCTATTAATCTTCAGCTAATATTCAGTTTTGAAAATTAAGTCTCTTATTTCTCTTTGCATTTTTGTCCTGTCTTAAAACATTTTTAATATACCACACATGCCGTTTTGATAATATCATCTTTTTTCATTTTTATTGATTTATTTTTTATTTTACATGTCTATCCCAGTTCCCTCTCCATCCCTCACTCCCTCCCATCCTCTCTTCCTCACTCTCATCCTCTCTCCCCCCTCCCATGCACCTTGACAACCCTCCCCTCCCATCACCTCACCCCCATTCCTTGTATAGGGCTAGGCTATCCAGCTGGGGTCATGTAAATCTGTCAAGTCATTTGAAGTTGGAACTAGGACTTTTCTTTTTTTTTTTTTTTTTTTTTTTTTTTTGCATATAGAGTATTTTTTATTTAATTTTATATAACAAAGTCCAATTAAATGAAAACAAACATTTATACACAATATTTGGGAATTTGGGCGTCGTTCTTTCCAAACTACTTCCTGCTGGTAAGGGGCGCTGTCTTGGGGGATTCGAAGAAGATTCAGATATCCTAGCTGTAGTCTGTAGGGCTGTTTTGTCCAGCTGTTTGGAATGTAGGATCAGCTTGTACTCTGTTTCAGGCGGTCTGGTGTGATCAAACCACATTAGTCTGGAAGGAATCCACATCTTTTCATTTTCTGTGGAAACAAAAATAGAAATACTTTTCCCCAGTAACTTGTTCTTCAACTTAAATTTTGGAGTCAAAGCGTTTTTTTTTTTTTTTTTTTTTTTTTTATTATTATTTTACATGTTGATCCCAGTTCCCTCTCCCTCCCTCCCTCCCTCCCCCCAAGCCCTCCCTCCCTCCTTCCCTCCCTTTTGCCCTCTCTACCCTCTCCCATGCACTCTAAACACCCTCCCCTCCCAACCCCCCACCACAATACAATATGTAGGGGAATGCCATCCAGTTGGGGTCATGTAGATTTGACAGGTCCTGTGAAGTAGGGACTAGGGCTTCTCTCCTATCTCTAGAATAAGGCAGTTATCCCTCCATGGGGGATATGTTTGCAAAGTCCTTTTGTGCACCAGGGATACATCCTGGCTCCACTGTCTGAGGTCTCTCAGACTGCTCAGACCTTCTGGCTGAGACCCATATTCAGGGGAGTCCGAGTCAGACCTCTGTTGGCTTCCCAGCTATCAGTCTAGTGGCCCTTAGCTCCTCCTTGTTCAGGTAAGCTGTCTCTATGTACTTCTACCGCATGGTCTTGTCCTCTCCATCTGCTTCTGGGTTCTAGTTTGACTCAGTGTTTATGTATGGGTGTTTGCTCCTGTTTTCAACAGGCATTAGTTGAGGACTCCATGGAGAAGTTAGTTGTTGATCTCACTCTCCGGGAAGGGCATTTATGGTAGCCTTTCCACGGAAGCTGAGATTGTTAGTTGGGAGCAGTCTTGTATTTCCCTCGACCTTTCTTTGTGTTCAACTTTATCTTATTTCTCTTTGCATTTTTGTCCTGTCTTAAAACATTTTTAATGTAACACACATGCCGTTTTGATAATATCATCTTTTTTCATTTTTATTGATTTATTTTTTATTTTACATGTCTATCCCAGTTCCCTCTCCATCCCTCCCTCCCTCCCATTCTCTCTTCCTCCCTCTCATCCTCTCCCCCCCCCCCCCCCGTGCACCTTGACAACCCTCCCCTCCCATCATCTCACCCCCATTCCTTGTATAGGGCTAGGCTATCCAGCTGGGGTCATGTAAATCTGTCAAGTCATTTGAAGTTGGAACTAGGACTTTTCTGTTGGCTCTAGGTTAATGGATTATCCCTGTATGGGGGATGCGTCCACGAGGTCCTTTTGTGCACCAGGAATACATCCTGGTTCTACTGTCTCAGGTACCTAGGACTGCTCAGTCCTTCTAGCTGAGACCCAATTTCAGTGGGTCTGAGGTAGTTCCATGCTGGATTCCCAGCTATTAGTCTGGGGGAGGGCATTAGCTCCTCCTTGTTCAGGTCAGCAGTCTCTATGTGTTTCTGCAACCTGGTCTTTTCCTCTCTCTCTGCATCTTGATTCTAGTTTGACTAAGTGTTTAGTTGTGGGTCTTTGCTTCTGTTTCCTTCCAACAGGTTCATGATGAGGGCTGCATGATGGGGGATGAGTTAGTTGTTGATCTCACTATCTGAGAAGGGCATTTATGGTAGCCTTTCCACAGTTGCTCCAATTGTTACTTGGCAGCAGTCTTGAAGGCCTCTAGACCTTTCTTTAGGTTCATTTTTCTCTTCAAACCCAATAATGGTTCCCCCTTGTATGTCTGGTCTCTCTCTCTCTCTCCATCTCTCTCTCTCCATCTCTCCCTTTTCTGTCTTTTATTCCTACCCCTGACTCGCACGTGCTTTCCTCTCCTCACCTGCTTTCTCCTACTTCTCTCTCTATTCACTGCCCAACACCCCCCTTCCCATGTGCACTGGAGGACTAGTTCCTTTCCCCTTCTGTGAGGGATCTTGTATGACTCTCTTAGAATACAACTTGTATCCTCATTCTTTGGAAGTGTGAATTATAGGCTGGTGATCCTTTGCTCTAGATCTAAAATCCATATATGAGCGAGTACATACCATTTTCATCTTTTTCAGACTGGGTTACCTCATTCAGGATGGTTCCTTCAACTTCTGTCCAATGCCTGCAATTTTCAAGATTCCATTATTTTTTTCTGCAGAGTAGTATTCCATTGTGTAGATGTGCCACATCTTCTTTATCCATTTTTCAGTTGAGGGGTATCTAGGTTGCTTCCAGTTCATTGCTATTACAAATAATGCTGAGATAGTTACCCAGAAATTTGTCCATTTCCTTTGAATTTTCAAATATTGTGGAATATAGGTTTTCAAAGTATGACCTGAAAATTGTCTGGATTTCCTCTTTGTCTATTGTTATATTCCCCTCTTCGTTTCTGATTTTTGTTAATTTAGTTGTTCTTTCTCTGCAATTTGGTTAGTTTGGAGAAAGTTTTGTAGCTTGTTGATTTTATCAAAAAACCAACTCTTTGTTGCATTGATCTTTTTGTATTGTTTTCCTGGTGTCTATTTTGTTGATTCCAGCTCTCAAATTGATTATTTCCTGGTGTTTGCTCCTCCGGGCTGAGTTTGCTTCTTTTTGTTCTAAGGATTTCAGTTGTGCAGATAATTCTGTTTTTTTCATATGGGCACTTAGTGCAATGATCTTCCCTCGTAACACTGCTTTCAAAGTGTCCCATAAGTTCGAGTATGTTCTGGTCGAGTTTTAGGAAGTCCTTAATTTCTTTCTTTATATGTTCTTTGACCCAGGTGTGGTGCCATTGTACATGTTCAGTTTCCATTAGTTTGTAGGTTTTCTGCCTTTTGTGTTGTTGTTGATTTCCAATTTTAATGCATGGTGGTCTGATAAGATACAGCTGATACTCCAATTCTCTTGTACCTATTGAGGTTTGTTATATTGCCTAGTATGTGGTCCATTTTAGAGAAGGTTCCATGTAGAGCATAGAAGAAGTTATATTCTTTGTGTTTGGAGGGAAAGTTCTATAGATGTCTGTTAAACCCAGTTGAGACTTCTGTTAGTTCTTTTGTTTCTTTATTAACTTTGTGATTGGTGGTCCCCTCTGTTGGTGAGGGTGGTGTGTTTAAGTCTCCCACTATAAGTGTGTGAGGTTTGAGTTTTAGTGCTGTTTCTTTCACGAATGTGGGTGCCTTTGCATTTGGGCCATAGATGTTCAGAATTGAGACTTTGTGTTGATGGACTCCTTGTGATGAATATGAAATCACCATCTTCATCTCTTTTGATTAATTTTGGTTTGAAGTCTAACTTATTAGATATTAGGATAGCCCCACCTTTTTTCTTCTTGGGTCCATTTGATAGGAAGATTTTTTTCCCAACCATTTACCCTCAGGTAATGTCTATCTTTGAATCTTAGATGAGTTTCTTGTATACAACAGAAGGATGGATTCTGTCTTTGCATCCATTCTGTTAGCCCGTGTCGGGCTGGATTTGTAGATACATATTGTGAAAATGTGGCTTTGTCATTAAATATCTTCTTTACTACATCTATAGTGATTGAGAGTTTTGCTGGCTATAGTAGCCTGGGCTGGCATCCCTGAACTCTTAGAATTGTAAAACATCCATCCAAGACCTTCTTGCCATGAGGGTTTCCTTGGAGAAGTCAGGTATAATGTTGATAGGTCTGCCTTTAGATGTTACCTGTACTTTTTCCTTCACTGCTCTTAGTATTCTTTCATTATTCTGTATGTTATGTGTTTTGATTATTATATGTCGAGGGTTTTTTTTCTTTGGTCCAGTCTATTTGGTGTTCATTATGCTTCTTGTACTTTCAAGGGCATGTCCTTCTTCTGATTGGGAAAGTTTTCCTCAAAGATTTTGTTGAATATGGTTTCAGCACCTTTGAGCTGGGCTTCCTCCCCTTCCTCTATGCCTATTATTCTTATGTTTGGCATTTCATGGTGTCCCACATTTCCTGGATGTTTTCTGTTAAGGATTGGTTGGATTTACACTTTTCTTTGGTCGATGAATCTATTTCCTCTAGTTTATCTTCCGCGACTGAGATTTTCTCTTCCATCTCTTAAATTCTGTTGGTTATGCTTGCATCTGTAGTTCCCTATCATTTGACCAGTTTTTCTATTTCCAGCATTCCTTAGGTTTGTCTTTATTTTCTCTATTTCAGATTTCAAGTCTTGAACCGTTTCCTTCACCTGCTTAATTGTTTTATTCTTGGCTTTCTGTACTGTCTTTATTTTCCTTAAGAAATTTGTTCATTTCTTCCAATTTTTTGCTTGTTTATTCTTCCATTTCTTTGAAGAATTTTCTCACATCTTCTTTGAGGCCCTCTATCATGATTATGATTATAATATTTAAGTCGTTCTCTTCTGCTTCATCTGACTTGTGTTATGGTCTGGTTTGTGTAGATTCCCCAGATTCTGCTGGTGTCATGCTTGTCTTTCTGTTGTTAGGTGTTTTGTTGCATTGCCATCTTCCCACAGCTTATTCCGGTAGGTGTCTCTGTCTCTATGGTACTTCCCCAATGGGCTTTGTTGGGTCAGATGTTGGATGTCTGTAGGTCTGGGTGGTCCAAGCTCTCTAGGAGTTTTTACTGCAGGCAGGGGCCTGACAATGGTTATCAATGATCAGGCTCCAGCAAAAGACTGGAGCTGGGAGTCAAAGATCTCAAATGTTGCAACTCCGGGTGTTCCTTAAGCTGATAGGCAGATCTAGCCTGAGCCTTGCACTCTAAAGCTGAGGCCTCCTTAGCAGAGGCCCTGAGATGGGGGTCCTGATTATACCATCTGAAACATGCCTGTGCTGTACTTTGATCATATTCTCCTGGAGCCTTTCGATCCTTCCTGCATATCTTTGTGTCAGATATCATGACTTTGGAAAAAGCTCAGTTTCCCTGCTTGCTCCTGACCCAGACAACACAAAATAGATCTGATTTCAGCTTGTGTATCTGCTTTGTTTTTTGTGAAACTATATCTGGTTCTAGCTACTTGAATTATAACACTGGGGTTCATAACTCAATGTGCTTAGTGTGGGCTCCTCCCAGAGTCTCCTTATATGCTATGCCATTGTTAATTTGTTTTGTGTGAAGTCCAATCCTTTTCCTGTGTGAGTCCATTACCTTGTGAATGAAGGGATCTGTCGTGTTTTGCTGAGATGAATGTAAAGTACACAGGACTCTCTGAAATGATTTTCTCATCTATGTTCATTGAGGAAAGGAGTTTAGTGTTTATTTGTGTGCTCATTTGCTTGGTGGCTCAAGGCAATACTGACACTGGGATCATTTTTCAGACATTCCTTTCCTTTTTCTTTCAAGAAGTGTTTTCTGGAACTTGGTGTTTGTCTTCGTGGTTCTATTGCTGCCACAAACACAATGACCAACAAGAAAGTTCATAATGAAAGGGGTTAAGCTGCTTACACATACAAGGTGGCTGTATATCTCTAAGACTTTGGGTGCATCATACATTTTTTGATCTGTCATATTTCACAGAAGATAATTCATAGCATTGGACCACCATGTAAAATTACTTTCATTCCTGTTTCTAGCATTGATTTCACCACGAATTATCAACAAGATAAAACGAGTGAAATTGCAGGGAGCATCATGGTCAGGCACTTGGAAGAGGAGATCCTCCATCAGGACTTCAGAATCTTAAAATCTCTAGATTTTGGTTCATTTGGGGTGGTGAAGCTTGCATGCCATCTTCCTACAAATACACAGGTTGCTGTCAAGGTGCTGGAGAAAAATCCAACTGCTGTGGCTGACAACACCTCTGAAGTAGAGATCCTTCAGTCTTTGGAACACAGAAATATAGTTCGATTTTTTCATGCCATTGACACAGTGAACATGACTTATGTTGTTATGGAGTATGTTCCTGGAAAGAATTTGGAGATGTTCCTCAGGAAAGTAGCCTATCTGACAGAGGATGAAGCTAGACCAATATTCCAACAGATGGTGACTGCGGTGCACTTTCTCCACCAAAGACTCATTGCACATCGTGATATTAAATTGGAGAATATCCTTATCGACAGAGCTGGAAACGTCAAGCTTTGTGACTTTGGATTGGCCATTCAGCTCAAAGAGGGGCAGATGTTGAAAAAGGGCTGTGGCTCTTTGCACTATATGGCTCCAGAGATCTTGGCAGGAAAACCCTATGATGGGCTGGCAGTTGACATGTGGAGCTTGGGAGTTGTCCTCTATGTGCTGGTCACAGGACAATTTCCATATGAAGAAAGGACTTATCATGGTATGCATAAGGTCATCAGCAACACAAAATATCCACTTCCCTACCACCTGTCTAAGCCCTGTTGCCAAATCATTGGACGATTACTCGCAGTCCCGACCAGGCACAGGATAACAATAAGTCAGCTCCGGGGAAAGACGATGGCTGGGCCACATTAAAGATCATGTAGAACCAGCAAAGAAGGAAATCCTTCTGAGGGTCGTAGACATATTGTGCACCAGTGGCTATAGCTGTGAAGAAATCGTGTCAACCCTAACTCACAGACAACCAAATACTAAATTAGCAGCGACTGTCAATATACTTAAACATAAGTTGATCTCTGGGGAGTGTCATCAGAAAAATGGGAAGTCCTGTTTAAACACCAGCCGTGTAGGAGCTCTTCAGCCCTTTTTCCCATTGAAGAGGGCTGCCAGTACACCTTCCTTACATAAAATTATATAAGCTGGGAAGTATAACTTGGAGGAGGAAGGTGAAGAAGGAAAAGCCAAGAGATTCCAAAGTGAAAACATGCTTGAGAAACTCTCCTGCTTAGAGATGTTGCCCAGTTCAGAGGAAAGACTCAAGAAAGGAAATGTCTGCATGGCTAATGTCATCCACAGTGCTACAGGTACCTTGCAATGCACATGAAGTCTGTGGACAGCCAGCCTTGTGATGGTACCACATGTGAATCAGGTCTGCATGCAACACCGAAAACGATTTTGAGCACAATCTCCTCTTTGCAGCAACCACCCTTGAGGATCAACATGTCCAATGACCAGCCTCAGGTTCCACCCACAATCTCAGGATCAAGTGCATTCAGGGCCTGGAAACTGATAAAGAAACGATTATCCCATGCACTCAGAGAACTGTGCTGTCTTCCTGAACAATTTCCTGGTGAATCCTGGACACTCTTGCAACCTACAAAAAACAAACAAACAAACAAACAAACAAAAAAACAAAAAAATTGAGTGTATAAAAGACCTATGTGCTTTGGCCATCAAAATGTTTTCCTCTTTATTAGTTTGTCTATGTTAATTTAATAAAGAACCTATTGTTAATGACAAGAATCTGCCAGAAGTAACCAAACTAAGACATTTAGCAATAATGGAGAGGATGACCTAACTGGTGTAAGCTTGCAATTAGATTGTGGTTTTGGTCAAGAATCATCATCCAGTCATCATTCCATAACTGACTGAAACAGATGATGAGATCGGCAACCAAGCAACAGGCCAACCTCTAGGAAGACAGTTTAAGACAGGAAGGAGGGAATCTATGAGCCAGGAAGATCAAGATCATGATGGAGAATGCTCCAGAGACAGCTAAATCAAGCTCATGGAAATCATGAGCTCTAGTCCAACAGCTCTGGAGACTTCAGGGGTCTGAACCTGGCACTCTGTACTCATAAAAAATTATGAAGCTTGGACTATTGAGGATGTCTGACAGTGGCACAAGGGGCAAACCTTGGTACTTGAGCTAGCTAGTTGCCTCCCATTCCCTATCTTGGGGTGCCATGCTCAGACAAAGTGCTTAGCAGAGGTACCTGTGCTGCCCCTTCTTAATGTGCCAGACTTTGTTGAATCCTCGTGGGAGCCCTTCCCCATGAGATGTGGACTGGGGGAGCCAAGTGGTTGGGTAATGGTGGGTACAGTAGCAATGACTGAGTCTGGAATGTAAAATCAAAATTAAAATAATAAACAACTTACTAAAAATAGAAAACATCCTAGCACAGTGTCTTCATACAGTTCTCAACCCTGGGTTGGTATCTTGACCTCTCACATGAAATCATCTCCGAATCCCACTGACAAACCAGGACTATGTGTCTCCACAGCTGAGCCTCGTGCAGCACACACCTAAGAAAGCATAGCCAAGCCATGAACCTCATGCCCAGGCAAAGCAATACAAGTCGGTTGGAAGCAATTAACCAACAAACTAAACCCAAAAGACTAATCCCCTTTACAAACACAGAGCTAACATTTGAAATCCTAGACACCCTTGAGTCTCCCCAAATGACCAATAGGCCAAGGGGAAGGGTCCCTGAAACAAAATCTGAGACAAAATTTTTGAAGGAATCATTGTAAATATATTCAGATAACTCAAAATAGCATGATAAACCCATGAAGCAAGCAGGACAGTGGTGGTGTTCGCCTTAAATCTCAGCAATCCTTAGGCAAGGGCAGATGTACCTCTAATTTCTAGGCCAGCCTGGTCCACAGAGTCAGTTTCCAAGACAGCCTTCAAAGGTACAGAGAAACCCTGCGTCCAGAATCCATACTATCAAAATAATCAAAAATAAATTAAAAAGCTAAAGACCTCATGATGCATAAGAGAGATTAATTTGCCTTTTTAAAAGCCTAGTGCTGCTGTTTGTTGATTTTTAAATGTTGAGAGAAGGTTTTGTTAGACAAATTTCCTAGATGGGTTCTCTTGAGTGGAATTTGGGACAGTAGAAATTGTATGGATTATTAGACTGTCAGCAACACCTAGGAAAATGTAATTATGTTTACAAAATTAGCTGGACATCTACAATTTCAGAGCTCCTATTTCCAACATGGAATTCCATGGTTCCATTTAATGAAAATATGCCTTTTCAAGTGTTGGAATGTGTGTGTTTTTCACCTAAGTCTATGCTACCCCAGTGCTAAACAGCACTTTTAAAAGCATCCTATTCATTGATTTTCTTTGTGTAGTGGTGCTCTGACTATGAGTAATTATGGACTGCTCACAGTTGTGTGCACCTCCCATGTGCACTGGCCCCATAGTATAGAAGGGAATGGCAGATTCACAGAGAAGATTTAGAGATCATCGTGAGTCTCTGTGAGTGTAGATGTGTGTAGGTAGAAGTGTAGACACAGAGAATATCTCCTCTATACAGTCTTTCTTCATCAGCATTACTCAAATAAGAGGTAATAGGGAACCTCAATTGAGGAATGTTCTCAATCAGATTGTCTTACCAGCATGTTAGTGGAGCGTTTTGTAGATGGATAAGTTTCAAAGCCACTCTCTCCAGATCAGGCTAACCTGTAACCCCTTATTTTCCTTAACTGCAATTGCAAGAGGAGAGGTCTCTTGCTGGGTATAGAGGTCTTTCCCTGTTCAAACACCTAGCATCATAATCATGACCTGGAGACTTATAATTAAGTATGAAAGCTTGGCCAATTGCTTAGGCTGATTCCTAACTAGTTTTTATAACAGTAATTAGCCAATGTCTTTTATCCTGTGTTCCTATACATGGATCAGTTACCTTTACTTTGCAGTGGCCATGCTCTTTGTTCTGAGTCTGGTGTCTCTGCCCTTTTCCTCAGAACCCTCTGTGCCTGGAAATCCCAGCTTTTAAGTAAACAGATCAGAGTGTCACAACTTCACAGAGTACTAAAGGGTTCTTCCACATCAGAGGGCCCAAATGACTTTCTTTATTCCTCATGAGTAGAATTAAGGAAAGTTCATGTAGGAAGGTAGGCAGAGGATCCCAATTGTAAGGTTCACCTTCTTGAGCTGCAGAGCTATGTCTGCTGGAACCTCCTCCAGAACTCCATGGACTGATCTTGTAACTGGCCTACAGACAGGATCATCTATTCATTCTCAAAACTCCCTGATGCTTCAAAGAGGACCAGAAAAATGTACACACAATTAAAGAAAGGCACACTGGGCCAAGTTATCATTATTCCCCACTTGAGCTGTACCATCCCAGGTTACCAGCAATCCTCGGTACTGGGAAGTAAAGCATTCCCTTGATTGTCAAGTGTAGATATCCAGCAGCATTTTATATACACACCTATTTTTTAATTGAACTCTTCAAAACACCAAATTATCCTTGGCACTGTTTCCAACTCAGTTTCTTCCCATCTATGCCAGGCTAAACCAAACTAGCAAATAATCCATGTGCTTTTGACCCCCTCAATCCAGAAGACAGGGAGACCGACAAATTGAGGTCTCTGTATCCTATGTTCTTCAAAGACAAGGCTATCTAAAGAAGGAGGGACATGGACTAATATTTCAACAGGTTGTGTCAGCAGTGCACTTTTTCCAACAAAGACTCATTGCATATCATGATATTAAGTTTAGAGAATATCCTTATGAACAGAGATGGAAAAATCAAAGAATGTGAATTTGGAATGACAACTCATCTCACAGAGGGGCAGACATTGGAGGAGGTCTTCCATCCTTCCCCAATATATCTCCAGAGTCCTTGGCTGAAGAAAAACTCCATGATGTTATGGTTGCCTCATGTGGAGCTTGGGAGTTGTGCTTTATGTACTTCTCACAGGACAATATCCATATGAATAAAACATAGCCCATGCTTTGTAGACCTCATCACCACCATAAACTTTGAATTCGCTACCACCCATCTAGACCCTGTGATATCATCTTTGAAGAATTAGACAACCCAGCAGAGGATAACAGTATGTCAGCTTGAGCAAAGAAGATGGCTGGGCCACTCTGAAGATCATGTAGAACCCGCTCAGAAACAAATCCTTCCCAGGACCAAACAGAGCATGAATACATGCCTGTGAAGGGATTTTGTAATCCCTAAAACACAGGCAACCAAATAATAAAGGAAAAAGAACCTTCCCTATTCTGAAACACAAATTGAGTTGTGTCATGATCAAAACAAGAAGCCCTGGTTAATTGCCAGCCCTGTTCCTGCTCTTCCCCCACATCTCCCCTTCAAGAGGAGAGCCAGCCAACCAGCTTTTCCAACATTTACAGAATCTGGGAAGACTCACTTTCAGCAGGAGGGTGTGGAAGGAAGAATAGATGCCTAAGCTGTATCATGTTCAATACACACTAGTGATTGGATCTGATGCATTGATCAGAAAATAATACCAGAAGTAGCTGTCCTGATGGTGAATGCCATCAAAAATGCTACCAGGGGCATTGCTAGCAATATGATTTCTCTGGACAGCCTGCCACAGGATCTCTCCTCATCTGGATGTTTGCTCTCTCTGCATTGTCAGTGGATACTGTTTTTTCTGTACATTTGCTGAACTTGTGTGTCTGTGTTCTAGAAACTTGTGAAACTTATGAAAATGGTATTATAGACTCTGAGTTCCTGTGGGCAAGATCCTTGACCCCCAAATCCAGGCCTCTGCCAAAGAAAGAGGCCTCATCTGGAGAGTTCCAGGTTCCAGTGAGATCCAACTATCCTGGAAAACCTTCTCAAGTTCCAGCTCAGCCCTTG